CAAACAAATTGCTCTAGCTCCCACAATTTTTACTCTATATACACCATTTTTGGCCAAAAAGCTTGGAAATGTTGTGCTGTCGCACACAGATGTCTGTGGAATCCAACGGACTTACACATTTGGCTCAAAGAGCCACAGAGCGACATGAACTCCAACCAACTGCTCCATTAGACTCCATGTTAAATCTGACCACTCATTTCTCAAAGAAAGCAGATGGTACCAGTTTTGCATATTGCGCTTCAGCTCACATTTTATGTGACATTGGTCACATTTTTAAGACCACAAACATAAAAAACACATCTCCGCATTTGCCAGAGTCTTATCCCTCTGACGGTATCCATATTTTATTGATTAGTCTTATGGTTTTGGTATAGAGGGCATATGTTTGACAGGTAGTTTTGTTGGAAATCACTGGTTACTCTCTCTTAATTAGCCTCTAACACACAGGTGCTCCAATCACCAACATGCACCCAAGCACACAGGTGTTTATATGAGCTCATTAGTGATGTTGATAAACACACAGAGGCACTGAGACACACACACATACACTTCTCCCCCTCTCTCTCTCTGTGTGTGTCTCTCTCTCATACAGTCATTCAGGTCTTGGAGACTTTTAGAGGACTCCCCCCCCCCCCCATTTTAAAATAAAAGCCTATAACTGTCTGTCTGCCTGTCTCACTCAGCCTCTCTCTCCTCTCTGTCTGTTTTTCTGTCTGTCTCTCTCTCCCTCTCTGTGTCTCTCTCTATCATACAGTCATTCAGGTCTTAGATATTTTTAGAGGACTTTTCCCCTCTCACCCCCCTCCCCCCCCATTTCAAATTAAAAGCCCCACAGAATGAATTCTAACTGGAATGCTTGTGATGAAGCCTCTCATTTTAGTGTCAAACATTATGATTCTGTCTCCTCTCCCCCTCTCTCACCCACCCAGTCCCACCCTTTTAAAATAAAAGCCCCACAAATACAAGATTCAATCCAAGAGTATGAATCTAAAATGCAGAAAAGAGAGTAGCGCTATCTCAATTGAACCTGAATGACACTACCGGTAACATTGGCGTGTGTATATATTGCGATTTTTTCGGGCAGTAGAAGCCACACTGTCAAAATTTCTTTAGGAATTTTCTAGTTATTATTGCGGTTCATTCAGATAAATGCTAACGTCAGCGTTTATCAGGTATAGTCTTTATCACCATCTAATTATGGTGTAGCAGCATGCTAACATTTGCTAATTACTCCAATGTACAGCAGTGGCTGATGGGAAAGTCATTAGTTGGGCAGGTATTTGGTCGTAAACAAAAGTCTTGGACAAACTAAAATGTGTTGACATGATGATGGCTGGTGATTAAGATACACAAAATGTTGTGCCAATCCATTTGGGTAGATGTTGAGATATTCCACTAGACTGTGTTGGCTGTGTATCGCACACGACATTCCCGTATTTTCCAGGGGCACCGCTGCTGGTTCCGGAACTTAACACTGCCAAAGACGATTCTGATTGGTGTTACAAACACGTGTTCACGAGAATGGGACATGACCTTTGACCACCAAATCAGATCTTTAAGTCAAAAAGAAACATGGCTTGCATTTAAATTTTTGCTTCGCACTATAGGTACAGAATAGCCTAAGGCCTATATTAATATGACATGTTAACACGAGCGCTCAGCTAAGACCAGCTGGCTCTTAAAGTCACACTGACGTTGGTCATATGGACATGTCATCAAAGACATGGTACGGTCCAACAACATATTTTCAGGTGCTTCCTACAGCTGTTAGATCACCAATCACTTAACTTCAAAAGCCCTCAATAATGTCTATGGGAGTTAAATGAATTGCTCATGAACTGAAATTGAATTAGTGAATAACTCAAAAGGCATTAGTTCAAGACTGCCTCGAGCGTTATTGCTTGACTGTACAAATATGTGTGAGATTCTTCGCTCTGTGTTTCTTCTGTGAAGAAAAACACAGTTTGAGAACAACATGCTGCTTGTAGAGAGGGGCGAGTGGGCTGGAAAACAGTGTTAGGGGTCATGCAAAACGTGGAAGCAGCACAATGTATCTCTGTCCCTTTTTCTACTGCCTACTCCCCCCACCACCACCACCACTGAACTCAGCCAGTGTTTGAGCCTCACTGTTTGTCAAGTTCATGCTATGTAGAAAAAATGTGGCTGTGCACCAAAAAGACAACCAACAAACATTCGTGAATGAATGTAGCATTTGAGGCATGTCAAAGTCAACATCCAATGGCAGGCAGCACAGTAGCTGTAATACTGGTGGTAGCTGACGCCAGGTATCAACCTGGGCCCACTACAGTTTGGGTTTGTGTGATGTAGGAAAAAAATCAAAAGGCAAAAAGTGAGAGATGCTCTCACTTTTGTGTTCACTGACCCAGAACACAGGAGCCCCACCCCCACCCCCGTAGAAAAAAAAGGCAACAAGTTAACAACTCGTCCACAAACAATAGGTTTGAAAATGCCCTAACCCACGTGACCCAGGTTAATACTTTTCATCTCACGCTTAGAAATAAAGTGAAAAAGTCTGGCCTACTTCCAAAAAAATGCTGACCTATGAATTTAAAGCTACCTTATAAGTATGTTTGATGAGTAAATGAGAGGGCACTGCCCTATAGAGCATACTGTCAACCACCCCACTATTAAGGTTGGAGTGGTGTGTCTGGAGCGGGTTACTCCCAAACTCCTCATGGAAAATAAAGAACACAAACGGGTACACAGTGAGACATCACAAAGATACTGAGATGTAAAGTTCAGAGGATCGGTCTATATGGTGAGATTATTCTCAGCGTGGCGAGCGCTTAAGGCTGAGAGGCTGGCGGTGATCGCTGCGATCCCTCCGACCCGGGGTGTGGGGGGGGGGACGACTCCCCGTCGGATCCTCCGCATCGGCATCAAACGCAGGAGAAGAAGTGCGGAGAGGATTCGTTAGGATTCCCTCTCTCCCCCTCCCTGTATCCATCCACTGCACAGACTCACACAACAACAGTCTGCATATAAATCCAACTGCCTGTCCTTGGTGAGCAGCGGAGGCGGACGACACACATCGCTCGCCAAGAACTGTTTTCAAAGGCCTGCTGCAAACGACACAGCCAGAGCAAACATGAACATTGCAGCTTAGTAGCCTAGCTTCCAAGGCATGTAACAGTAGCATGAAGGCAAATAAGAAAGTCTGTAAATTATTGAGCTAGTGATCATTACAATGTAAACAACAACCAAACAGAGATAAAAATATATTACATTTTCACAAAAAACTTTTCTAACGAATAGCCTCAAGTAATCAGTTTGATATAATTTAGTATTATATACTTTTATTGTAGTTTACAGACAAGTCTGAGTTTTCCCATAATATATGCATTCTCCAGTTGTTTTTGTGCTTCAGCGGCAAAAATTTATAATGTTTTGATTTATTATATTTACATGTGGTTCTCCTTATCTATTTCTCAGATGCAGATGTTTGCTTTGGCTTGGCATCAGCACAGCCTCACACCTCTTTGTGCTTCTGCTGCGGCTGTATTTCTACATCAAACATTTGGACAAAGTGCTTGCTGCACACGTTACGTTAGTCATACTGACTGCGTACCAGTACCCATAGTACCATGGTACTTAGTATGCCCCGAACGGATTTCCCAATACATAGTACGTCAAATTTGAGTATCCAAAAATTCCAGGATGTTCTACTACACCCGATCTCATTTTGCAGAATGCAAGCCAGCATGTTTGTCTGGCTAAGAGGGTAAAATTTCAAGGTATGTTATGTTATGTATGAAACAGTACATACCTTTTAAGGGCAGCTGCAGTATGTACTAAAAGTAAATAGGAAAAAGTATGCGATTTGGAATGCAGCTTGAGTGTCAGGCTCTCCCTAGTTTTTCCATCAGCCTGCTGATGCCTCACATCTTATTGCCTGTATCCTCAATTTTTTCAGTTTGGCTGCTTATAAAAACATAATTCTGGGTTATTTACCCTGTTGGTATTGCATCCCACCACACAGCAGCTTTTTCGGGATTTTTCTGTTGTTTGCTAGCAGACTAAAGTTACAAGGAGGCACCTTCACACAATATAAAGACAGGGGAGAACGATGAATTGTGTTCCCCTCCTGTGTGTGCGGGACTTAATTGTGCTCCGTCGCAAAAAAATGTGTTATTATAAAATAAAACTTGACTTGATATGAAAGTGTCGTTTTGCTTATGGCATGATATGAAATAAAAATACTACTTAAAAAAAGACCCCTTTGAATTTAAAAAAAATGTCTGTTATTACATAAAAATCATATCCAATAAAACTATTTTGAAAATGTATGATGACATAGCATTTCATAATAATCACTTGAGTTTTAAATAATTTATTCAACTATGTCACAAATTGTTGGTTCATTTACACCATTTATTCCTAAAATATTTGATTTATTTATTATGCAATACTCCGGGGTTCCATGTATCTACTGATGCAGAAATACATTCTCTGAACATTTATAAGAGGTAAAAAGGAAAGAGACCTATAGCCTGTGCAGGATGTGTTCAACATGGTGGGCAGGTAACAGGACACTTCTCTTTGAACGCGTTCGGAGAGGCAGGATGCTGAGTGAAGCTCTTTCTATTTCGGAACAATGCAGAGCTGCACACAATGACTGTACGGCAGAATCACCTGCTTAAAGCCACAGTTCGTCAGAGGCACAACGGCACACAGGAGGTGAAGATTCAACACTAACTGCTGCAATGGATGTGAGACACTGACATGAAACAAACGCAGCAGTGCACAGATCACAGGTCACAGGTCAAGACGGGCGACAGAGTTGCGGTTTCTCAGTTCGGTGCCAGATAACTTGAGCTTGTCACCTACTTACTTCTGAGTGAGACTGCATATCACACACAGATACAAGTCACCAAAAAATCACTTTCTATGGTAATAACACAATCCTTTAAATGTATGCATTCAATGTAAACAATATGAAGAACAGTTAAAAAAAGGAATTTGAATCTCTTAATACTTACTCCATTGATTTAATAAGCTATTCATATGCATCCTGTGGACGGTGGGACAAACGCAGAAGTCTCTGTGCAGAAACTGAGGAGGAACCACATACATGCGACAGGAGATGAGCAAAAGCACAGACACGGGACTTTCCACACAACAAAACAACACGTACAGTTACATGGGCTGTCAGGCAAGCGACATTGAAAACTAACATGCAGACTGATTGGTAGACTTCAATTTCAGACATCGGACAAATGATTCTTTCAAATGAGTCACAGATGAGAGGGTTTCTTGGTGACGCACGACAGTGACACCTGGGAACATCAAATACATTTCTAAGGTGTCTACTATCAAATGAAGTTAATGTCTTTAAATACACACAATACAAAGCTACTGTTGCTGTTTAAAATACATACAACACAATAAAATAACCCTATACCATTGCTCCCAACTAATGAGTGAATTTACTTCTCAGATAGGTTTTTTAGAGAGATAAAAAGTACTTTTACAGGAAAAAACAAAGTCAAAGAAATGTTGTGACAAAGACAGGGACGGCCAAAAAAATAAGCTGTGGGCCCCTGTTGAACCCCCCACCCCCACCCCAATACACATTCCCATAACCAATTTAGCGATTTAGGAGTTTTTGGTCTCCACCAACTCCTTCGAATAATCAGGCTGTTTTGCTAATAAATGCTCCACTATGTTCAGCAGATAGTCACTAACTTTGTTCGTCTGATGTTTGATGCTAGCCAGGTAGCACAGAGTGCATTTTTCACCTTTTTATTAAACTGAGAACTGCCTCCTGGAAATTACCTTAATTCCATTGTCATTGTTGTTGTATAGGTTTATGTTCATATATATAT